CTGACTGGGAAGGGATTAATAGCCCTAAAGTTAGATCCAACCTCCTGAACTGAAACTCCTGAAATTGCTAAGAGTACAAGAGATGCAATTACAGATCAGACAGGGAAAGTTAAACATGCAGGAGACATAGGAAAGAAGGCACCGAGAGAGACTGAGAAGAGTGAGCAGGAAGAAGCCCAGGAAAGGAGGAGGAGAAGGAAGAAAAGGAGATAAAAGGAGGGGAGAATGACGGCAGAGGATAAGAGATCAAGAGAAGAGGTTAAATAGGAGTTACCTGAAGGTTGGGAATGGGTAGAGATGACTGATCCCTGGACCGGAGAACTGATCAAATTATGTTCATCTAGTCAAGAGGCTGAGAAGCACCAGACTGGAAAGGTAGCCAGAAAACCATTTTATTGGGGAGAAATAAAGTTATGAAAAAGGAGACATTTAAGTCAAGGAGGAGAGACAAGAGGCGGAAGCACGAAGATATAGAGACTGGCCAGGGTAAGAGGAACAGAGGTGGAAACAGCCTCACATGAGAGGATGGCAAAGAGGGGAAACCAAAGGAAGAAGAATATACGGAGTAGGGTTGGGCTTGCCACCCTTGTTGTGGCAGCACGTGCCTTCACAAGCAACCACCTCCGAAAACCTTGACTGATCAGGAGAGATTTAGTGGAACCCCATATTCAAAGTAGAGGAGGAGTTGTAAGTGTACAAGGAAAAGACTGTCGAGTTAAACCAAGTGTTAAATAATAATGTTCCAACTGAAGTGGTGGTGAAGCAATGATCTGTGCTTGGCAAATAAAAGTTTTATTGCTGCATGTCTCTCCACCTTTGAATGTGGGACCAGAGAATTCCCCAGGTATTAAAGATGACCCCACTCACACTGGCGCACAAGGTGGTACAGAGACTCCATGGAACAGTGAGTTCAATGGGCTATGCAATGGCAGGAGTGGTTTGTAGAAAAATGTGGCCAAACAACATAAACTGGTACAGCCCTGTCCAATGCTCCCAAACACCAAGAACGAATGTGCCCTTAGAGCACATCAAAAGGCAGAGATTTATAATAAGTAATAGAGATGGGGGCATTCATGTTTGTATATGAATATCCCCACACAGGTGGCCAGCACATAAAAAGGCAGAGACTTATATTAAGTAATAGAGATGTTTCTATATGAATATCCCCACACAGGTGGCGTTAACGAGGGTCCAACCCCATGGGGCCAGACGGTCCACTCACCGATCTGCCACAGACACAGACGGCGTGATTCTACGAATGGCTCCGTAGCGCACAATCCACTCACCACTCCTGGCAGGAGGACAAACCTCGTTGCAAGGTCGAAGAGTGGCAAGCGGGTTGCGCGCTGTGGCGCCATTTGTAGAATCAACGCCGTCCATGTCAGATTGGTGAGTGGGGGTGGACCTTCGTTAACACCACCTGTGCGGGGATATTCATATTTGTATATACGAATACGCCCATCTCTAGTAAGTAGCTACAGAACTAGCTTTTTGAAGAACTACAAAAAGCTTGAGATTCAGTTCTGCTTAACTGACAATACAAAGTGTTGGAAACCACAGAGTAAATGTTTCCTGGTCTGACAACAAACTAGCACACAGACAGCTTCTTAGCAGTGCAAACTCTTGCCTGCCTGACAAAAAAAAAATTAATATGAATACCGTCCAGAAGCCTTGTTAAAGTGAGAAGAATTCAATCTACTCAGACAGAGTCACAATATTCCATCTTTGCTTTTTCTGGTCACTACTAGGAAGGGGCTAGAAAAGGAGTTAAATATTAACTGTCTATAGAGATGTATGAAACCTATGTTTTGGACATATTATTCTTGGAATCCTTAGTTTTACCTCAGCTTACAATGTACTATTTGTACCTTAGCTGGCAAAAAAACTGAAAACCCATTTAAGATCTTCATGATCTGGTAATGGAAAATTTGGCAGGTTATTATATCAGGTGTGTTACTGTTGCTGAAGGTCAGTGTAAGCAACGAAACGGTAAAAATGAGCTTTTGGCTTCCCTAAATGTTTAGTGTTACATTTTATAAAGCATCTGAAACAGGTAACATATAGTGCTAAGGGGTGAAAAAAAATCCTGGATTCTTGGATTTATTTCTTATTATGGTAATACACTTTTATTCAATCTGTACCACATCAGATTGTAGGTGGAGGTTCATGACTGAATGGTTCTTCATGAAAATAATTTTCCATCCAAAGAAAACTAAACACCACGAGGAAGCATTCTAGCTTCTTCCTGGCATTCTAGTTTTCTGTATGTTCTTTAATGGAAGAACTTTCAGCCATCTGAATATTCAACCACCTACAGTCTAAAACAGTGGTTCCCAACCTTGGGCCCTCATATGTTCTTGGACTACAACTCCCAGAAATCCTGGCCAGCACAGCTAGTTGTGAAGGCTTCTGGGAGTTTTAGTCCAAGAACATCCAGGGACTTCAGGTTGGGAACCACTGATCTAAAGCAGTACGACCCAGACTACAGCTTGAAAAGATTGTTTTGGTCAACAACTCCCAGAATCCCACAGAGTATGGCCTGCGTTATTTTGCCAGCTATAACCCCAAAAAGTAACTACTCCAACTTCTGTTCCAGGCACACATTTACTATCACAGCAATAACGAGGCTGTGGCTTCCTATTAACATAAGATATTCATTCAGCCCTAAGAAAGGCTGTTGCTTTCTAAAAATACTATACTGATGCCTTGAAATATTAACATTTTTCTCACTGTGAGACACCTTCACTTGTTAAAAAAGCAGAACCCACCAGACAGCACAGAAGCCCAAAACACAGCTGAATTTTCTGAACTCTGAGGAGTCCAACTGCCAGGTGAAAAAAGGATGGATTTGCAATCAGAGCAAACCATATTTCATAACAGTTGTTAACGACTGTAATGGGTTACAATGAAAACATACCTTGTATGCCAAATACCACTCACTCTCTCTGGTGGACTTATTTCCTGTCTTGTTCTTGTATATTTCTGCCCTGTACTGACGAACCAGAAGCAGATTTCTCAAAAAAGATTCAAAATTCATCTTGCTGAGGGCAACACTCTCAAGTTTATGGTTTCCTAAGGGAAAAAGAAATATATTGAAAGAATCTGGCTGACACAATGCAAACAGAAGGCAGAGGGCTGGAAACATTATATTTTGGCTTAGAGGTTCTGGAAGCTGTAGCCTAAAGACATTATATTTCCAAGCTCTGATGGAAGGCATGATCCAGTTTATATTATGTGCTGTTGAGTTCTGCAATTTTAATTAATACATACAGTGTTCCTGATGTTCCAATTACAATTAAACTGAGCCAGAATATTCAGGGACTAATTTTCCCACTTCTTTCTCTACAGAAGCCTGGATGTCATCACAGCTATTTTGACTTTGGATGTGGCAACTCTAAACAACAATGTCATGTTGCAGCCAATGCCATATTTTATACCTTTCAGTACTTCTTTCCCCTTTATTTGACACTGATGGATCAACTGCGACAAGCTGTATTTTGCATTTCTCATTACATCTATTCTAGATTTCCAGATTTCATAATTTGTTTGTAATTTATCAATTTAACTCAGCACATCTTCATTGGTCATAGTTTCTATCCAGGAATTTTTAAGCCTCCTGCAAACAATTAACACTTGCAATGCTCCTGTGGGTTCTACAGTTGTGTTAAAAGCCCATGACTTCATGCCATACTCAGAATACACAACACCACACAATATACAGCTTTTGTTGCCCGTTCCTCATCATCTTAAATTGCTTAAACTGGCCTCCTATTGCAACAACTATGCTGCCACTATTCAGTCAATCAAATTCCAAGGTCATTATATTTACCAACATGCTCACACTTTCATTACTGGCTTCCATTAAAGGTTTGCTACAACACTCCACCTTTTAATTAATGTCTTTCATTAGAGCAATCAAAAAAAGAGAGAAAAATATAAACACAGCAAAAACAGCACATGTATAACGATACACATAAGGCACGATGCAGGACAGAAGATATATCTGGATCGATACAGCCTGTGGAGGCCTGAGGTAAGCTGCAAAGTCCCAGGGCGTCCCCAGAAGAAGGGAATGGCAACCTACCTCTGAGTATTCCCTATCTGGAAGACTCCGCGAAAGGTCGCCATAAATCAGAATGGACTTGGCAGCAGATGAGGATGATGGGTTGTTATTATTAAAACAACAGCAACAAATAAATAAGGGGCTCAGTCCCAACCATCCAAGCCCTACCAACGCCCCCCAACGCATTCTCAATCAAGCCGCGGCTCTATTTCCCCGTCCTACCCACCCACCCTAGGGACGCACCTGCACCCAGTAACCGGATGACCCCCCGTGTCTTGAAGACCTCGGCCGCCGCCAGCCTCGCGTCGCCGCCATGCACCGTGTAGTAATCGCCCCGCTCAAAGAACCTCACGGTGGTCTCGGGCTTCCCTGGGAGCGCCAGCACCGCGCGCACGAAGCCGCTCTCGGCGGCCGAGCCTTCGGGCCAGCAGGGCTCCCGGACGGAGGAGGAAGAAGAAGAAGAAGAAGCGCCGGAGGAGTTCGCCAGGGTCGCCATGCTGAAATCTCCCGCCAACATCCGTGCCGCGACCTGAGATGGTTTGATCGAGAGCAGCCAATCCGCTCCCCGCGTTTCCTCTTCCGCCGACGTAGTAGCCACGCCCCGCTCTTCGTGAGATGCTCTGAGCGGAATGACCCTTCCCGGGCACCGTCTTCTAATACGCGGAAGAGGAGCTACGTAAAATGGCGGCCGTGGGCGGCCACGTGTTAGGGTGTGCTTTCCCATTATGGTCGTTGCTGCTATGTTCTTATGCTCACTGTAAATCCTGTTTATAGTGAACACGTCCTTGGCAGTAGATGATGATGGATTATACTGACGTGCTTAGAAGCAGAACTCATTTGAAATTTTTAGTTAGACGGGTGTAGGAATCCACTGTAACAAGTTGCTTGTTAGATGGAATACATTTAGTTTAATGGGACTCGATCCCAGGTAGATCCATCAGAATTGCAGTGTAAGTGCGCTTAGTATTGCAGCCCTCTACCGGAATATAACAGCTGGTTTGTAACGCTCTAATTTGTATAATAAACTGTATGCAGAGTGGGAAGCCAGTTCCTAAATTAGCGTGATGGGATTTAAAATGTGACTTCCATCCGGAGGCATTCATTTCTGTGCACTGCTGTGACAGAATCGGGCCCTCTGGCAGACCCAGGTGTCATCTCTGCCCTCATGCTTCATCTGGAAGCGTTGTTATAGAACCCAGTCTTGCAATATTCGACATCAGGGGGTTTTGAGCTGGAGGACAAAAAGACAGAGGAAAGAGAAAATGAGCCGTCCCCCTCCCACGTCTAAGAAAGAAGACAGTGACAATGGTGTAGAAAAGATGCCAGGAGAAGTGAAAAAGGCTAGAGATAGGGGGGGAAAGGAGAGAAGCCTAAGAAAGGGAGGAGAAGGGAGGATGAGAAGAGAGACAGATATGTCTGGGGAGACAAGAAAAGTGGTTGTGTGGGAAAAAGAAGAAAGAGAAAGGGGAACCTTTAATCTTTAAAATACCGAGAAAGGGAAAACGAGATGAAACGTGAGGAGCAGTAGAAAGAGAGAGAAAAGGAGTAGAACTAAATGTACCACTGGAGGAGTTAGATCCAGAGGAATGAAAGGTTTTGGTTTATCCCGGAGGCCAAGGTCCCTAGAGGAAGGTTGTCCGGCCAGAACCCATCCCATCGAATCAGAAGCCTCTGGAGGGGGATTGGTCTCGCCACCCATGTTGTGAGACTATCTGTGCAGTGAGGAGTGGTTATCTGAGAAAACCCACAGATCAAGAGAGGTTTGGACCATCTCCCCGCTGAGGAAAGAAGATTCCCATGATATTTTGTCCTTTTTATGGACAGAGTTTCCGATAGATGTTGGCCCAATAGAAGTTGTTGTTGACCCACGTGTTAATGTTGTTAATAAAAGTTCTATTCCAAATAACTCAATTCCTCATTTTTTCCACCAAAAATCAAGGAACTGTCATACACTAGTGACGAATCCTGTTACGGGTTGGACTTTTAGAACAGTCTTGATATTCTTGAACAGAAGTGTTTGAAAGACAGATAGTGATGAATCCTGTCACGGGTTTGTACTTTTAGAACAGTCTTGACATTCTTGAACAGAAGTGTTTGAAAGACAGATTCCAAAAGAGAACAGATGAATAAGAATTCCTGGAAAGATTCAGGAGGTGGTACGCCCAGACCCATCTTTCAACAAGCCTCCTCCTGAGGGCAACTGGGCACGCCACCCGTGCTGTGGCATGATTTGCACGGTACGGAGTGCACCCTTAAGGAAACCGTTGGACGAGGAACGATATGGTCCGGCTCCCCAGTACTGAGAGACAATGTTAGTCAAAATGTAATTACAGAACTGAATGGACCTTTACCAGAGTTGAGTTATTTTGATCCTACCGAAGTTATTGATTCTCTTGAAACCAAGTTCAATAAATCTGTTAATAAATCCTCTGAAGATGCCGGCCACAGAGACTAACGAAACGTTAGGAAGAACGACCTTCAGAACATGGCCAAAGAGCCCGAAAAACCCACAACAACCAAATCTGTTAATGTGGAAAATGTGGAACTGTGAAAAATGTATAAGGAACCCAACCACACATACATTCTTTTAATGGCGGAGGGAGGGAAGGAGGCAGAAGAAACAAGTTGGTCAACCATATAATTGTATATTAATTTCTAAGCAAGACAGAAAAACAATTTGCGTCTACAGAGGCCTGGACTGGAGTGCACCTGTTGACCTCAGCTTTTCACTCTCTGGTCTCAAAGCTTCCACCTCTGCAGTTCTGTCTTTCGCTTCTGTAGCTGGTATCTTTAACTGCTCCTCCTTGCGTTTCCCCGGATGTTTTCTTCTCCTTCTGTCCTCTCTCTGTCATAACAATTTTATGCAAAATCTCCATGGAATTTTCTGTAGCAGCTTCTTGATACTCCAGGCAACTTGCATTTAGGATAGTTTTTTAAAAAAGCACCCTACCACTCCCTTCACTAGGATGCTAATCCAAGTGTGTGTTATGTAAGATCATATCAGAAGCAATTTATAGCAACCCTAAAAGGGCTTTCAAAGTACTGTAATATTTAAGGAGTGGTTTTACCAGTTCCACCCTCCCCCTGCTCCAGCGAGTGTCCATGGCCAAGCAGGGATTCAAAGCTAAGGCTCCTGAGTCCTAGTTTATCACCTAATCCATGAAAGGTAAAGGTTCCCTTGACAATTTTTGTCCAGTGGTGTTCGACTCTAGGGGGCGGTGCTCATCCCCGTTTCCAAGCCATAGAGCGAGCATTTTGTCCGAAGACAATCTTCCGTGGTCACATGGCCAGTGCGACTTAGACACGGAACGCTGTTACCTTCCCACTGAGGTGGCCCCTATTGATCTACTCGTATTTGCATGCTTTCGAACTGCTAGGTTGGCGGGAGCTGGGACAAGTGATGGGAGCTCACTCCGTCGCGTGGATTCGATCTTACGACTGCTGGTCTTCTGACTCTGCAGCACAGGCTTCTGCGGTTTAGCCTACAGTGCCACCATATCCCGTACCTAATCCATGTAGTAATGTCTAATTTGACCTTGTGAGTTAACAGTACATAAGTAAAGGTGTAGCACATAAAATTTGCTAGATTCACTTTGCAATCTAAAATTCCTCTGAAAACACCAGAGGGTGATATTCTAGCTTTTGAATGAAACTGGGTACGCTCTAGATACCTTTTCCAGCCGTTGGTGCTGCTTGTTTAATGGGGGCAAAAGCCTTAACAATCATTGAACGACTCTTTAGTCCTTCACCAAAACCAACTGATAACTTTCTTCGATAGGAAGACTGAATGAAGTACTGCACTAGTTTTTGGCAAAATTTTACAGAATATTATAGATGATTGTCTGATAATTGGAGTAAAGAAAACCCTTAAAACATCACAGACCTTTTTATATCAGTTTCCATCACAGGATAGCTCAGTAGTTTAGGTATCTAGTTGCAGAGCCAGAGATTGGGGGTTCAATTCCCCACTATGCTTCATTAACACATATTAGACTCAATGATCCATAGGACCCCTACCAGCTCTGTAGCTCTTAAGATTAATTTTTATTTATTCTATTTGTACCCCGCCTATCTGGTCAATACGACCACTCTAGGTGGCTATTATTACTTACTACTACTGGGTATTACTATTATTATTTATTATTAGTCATGCAAAGTCAAATCCACTTCAAAGTGAAGAAATTAGACTTTGGCTGCAATTCTGTTGCACAACCCCATGTTAGTAACTCAAAATTACACAAGTAGAAGGGAAAACACACTAAGAAGTGTTACTTGTGAAGAACTTATGGAAGCATACGGGACAATTGTCCTGCTGTGAATTATGCAATAAATTGTACAATTATGAAATAAATTGTATTTTATATTTAATAAATTGCATTTTGTATGCTATTTTAACGTGTTTTATCTGATGTAAGCCACCCCGAGTAGACGGGGCGGGGTAAAAATTGAATGAATGAATGAATAAATAAATAAATAAATACAATAAAATTGCTCAATGTGAACTTCATGTTGGTAGCTTTGATGACACTGTCCAACCATCTCATCCTCTGTTGTCCCCTTCTCCTCTTGCCTTCACACTTTCTCAACATCAGCATCTTTTCCAGGGAGTCTTCTCTTCTCATGAGATGGCCAAAGTATTGGAGCCTCAGCTTCAGGATCTGTCCTTCCGGGAGTACTCAGGGTTGATTTCCTTCAGAATGAATACGTTTGTTCGCCTTGCAGTCCAGGGGACTCTCAAGAGTCTCCTCCAGCACGATTCAAAAGCATCAATTCTTTGGCAGTCAGCCTTCTTTATGCTCCAACTCTCAGTTCCATATATCGCTACTGGAAAACCCATAGCTTTGACTATGTGGACCTTTGTTGGCAAGGTGATGTCTTTGCTTTTTAAGATGCTGTTGAGGTTTGTCATTGCTTTCCTCCCAAGAAGCAGGCATCTTTTACCGTATATGCCGGCATACAACACGACCGGCCGTACAAGACGACCCCCCAAAAAGAGGAGGGCGAGGAAGAGTCTGGGGGGGCGGCGGCAGGGGGAGGAGTAGGAAAAGGAACCGGGCGGGTGGCGGTGAGCGTGTGCACCGCTGGATCAGTGGCGCGGGGCGGCGGGCGAGCATGGCAGGCTGTGCTTCCCTCCCTCCATCCCGACCGACTGCCTGCCTGCCTTCCTCCCCAGCCAGCAGGGCCCTGCGTCACTCACGGGGAAGTTCATGGCCGGCGGCAGGAGGAGGAGGGGGAGGAGTAGGAAAAGGAACCGGGCGGGTGGCGGTGAGCGTGTGCACCGCTGGATCAGTGGCGCGGGGCGGCGGGCGAGCATGGCAGGCTGTGCTTCCCTCCCTCCATCCCGACCGACTGCCTGCCTGCCTTCCTCCCCAGCCAGCAGGGCCCTGCGTCACTCACGGGGAAGTTCATGGCCGGCGGCAGGAGGAGGAAGAGGGGAAACAAAGAAGGGGGAAGCGGTGGGAGGAGGAGGCGACCACATGGGTGGAAGAGGGGAAGCGGGTGGGTGGTGGGCATGTGCATGCGCTGCTGGCCGCACAGGAAGGCAGTGCGCATGCGCTGCTGGCCGCACAGGAAGGCATGGCTCGGCTTCCCTCCCTCCATCCCAACCGACTGCCTGCCTGCCCGGCTGCCTTCCTCCCTGGCCAGCGCGGCATCACGCAACGGTGGTGGCTCCTTTCTGGCACCTGGCGTACAAGACTGCCCCCCCACTTGGAGGTTTGTTTTGGGGGCTTTAAATAT